TTGTGAGCTGCCTATGCGGATTAGTAAAGCACACTTCTGCATGTATCTAGGTAGGTCATTGAGTTATGATCTTGATTATTCTCTCTGGTCCTTGACCCCTTTCTCTTGGGCACTGTTTCCCTGGTTGCTTCCTGGCTGCTACGAATTAAAAAGCTTTGCTCTGCCATGCCCTTCTCCTATGTGATTTCTGTCTTAGAGCCAGATCATGGGCTGAATCCTCTAAAATCATGAGCCAAATAAACCTCTTTTAAGTCATGAGTGCCAGGTGTTTGTCCAAGCAGTGGGAAAGCTGATTAATACAGGAAGTTGGTACCAAGAAGTGGGATTGTTGTGACTGTACCTGACTATGTGGGTCAGAAGTCTTTGGAACTGTTTGCCAGTAGAATTTGTGAAGGTAGAGATGTGGGCTCTAGACTATAGCTTGTTAATACTATAATCAGAGCCTGATGGATAGTTTTGTCAGAGCTCAGAAGACCAAAATACTGGTAAAAATGCAGACAATAAAGGCTAGGCTCCTGAAGTTTCAGGTGGTGGTTCTTTAGTGACTTGGGCTAGAGGTTAGACCTGATATATTCTGTTAAAGAGCTTGTCTCCATTTCCCCATGTCTTCAGATTTTTTCGAAGGCTGATTTTAAGACCTATGGACCAGTTGATCTGGCAGGAGAAATTTCAAGGCGGACCAACTTTCAGGCTATGGTATAGGTATTGTTGGTTGCTTTTAGCCAGGTTTATATTGAGAATTGGGAGCAAAATGCAGAGCAGAAAGATTTGAAAAACTTAAATTTTGGCCCCCAAAGAATCACATTTATAGTTGGGGCCAAAGAAGGTGTGGTTGTTGAGTAGATAGTGCCATTAAAAACACTAAGTACTTTGAACTGGGACAAAAAAAAAGATACTTTAAGGTCATGTTAGGAATCAGCAAGGTGCTGTCTAACCTAGGTTTATGGGAGCAAAAGTATAAACCTTCTATTTGAGAAGAGCAGTCCTGGGCCCCCTATTCAAGTAGGGGGCCAGTTAGAGAATTGGTTCCTTGGTGTTTATTTCATGATGATCAACTATCCAAGCAGTTATAGGCCCCTGCAGCCATGGTCCAAGGGAGCTTGGCCACTGCTCACACTTGGGGCAGTCCTTGGCATCATACATGTGAGACTGGTTGGTTACACTGGCATGCAGAAGACAAGACTTGTGGGATCTGAGAAGATTTACCTAGATTTCAAAGGAAGACCTAGAAGGTCAGGCAGTATGCCCCTGAGAAGTAAGTGTGTGCAGCTGTGGAAATGAAGCCAAAGATGCAGTGGAGACCCAGGAAGTTGGAGATACCACAAATGTGGAATGTCTACCAAGGAAAGGTGCAGAGTGTGAGTGGAACAATCCTAGGAGAGGGGCTGTGTGTGCTGATAGATGAGGCTGCCCAAGCTCCTTGGAACTCACATCTCATTCATGTCCCCTGGATGCCGGACAGAGCTACTATACTTAATGTTTTTCTTGCTACGTTTTAGTGTTGCTTTGGTCCTATTCTTTACTATTCCTGTATTCCTCCCTTTTTGAATGGAAATGTTTACCATTAGCCATTAAACCTTGGGGATTATGAACTTGTTTTTATTTTACATTGATTCACACCGAAGAGTTTGCCTTGGGTCTCAGAGGAGACTTTGACTTGGACTTAGGAACAATGTAGAAATTGTTGTGACTAGGGAAGGGACCGTTGCTTTTTCAGTTATATGAAGGGTAGTTGTATCATGTTAGACAGACTTATTAACTTGTTATTGTGTTATTTGGAGATTATTAAGAGATGTATTTGTGTGTCAAGTTGACAAGGAGTGGAATGTGACACTTAAGCTGAATTGTCAATTTGACTGGCTTGTGAATCACCTAGAGGATTGGTAAAGCACATATTTTTGTGTATCTGGGTGAATCATAGAGGCATAGCCATGGGTATTTATCTTGTTCCAGGCTCCTTCTCTCTAGTGCTGTTCCCTTGCTCTACTTTCTGGCCTCCATGAACTAATCAGCTTTGTTAGGACATGCCCTTCTTTCATATTTCTGCCATGGAAACACTTGATTGTAGACTGAATCCTCTGAAACCATAGTGAAATATACCTCTTCTCCTTTTAAGTTGTAGATACCATGTATTTGTTTCAGCAATGGAAAAGCTGATCAATATACCCTATTAAGTGGTTTTGGCACTTTTGTTGAAAAACATTATTTGATTATGTAATGGTTATCTCTGGGCTCTTTGTTCTGTGACATTCATATCAGTATTATAAGAGCCAGGGATTTAGCTCAGTGGTGCTGCCTCCTGCTTTGCAAGTGAAAGGTTCCAAGTTTGATCCCTGGTACCATTAAAAAAACAAAACAAAACAAAACAAAAAACATTACAAAGCTATACTAATCAATACAGTATGGTATAATACCATATCATTCCATATGATGATTCCATATGAATTTTAATATGCTTTTTTAAAATTTGTGCAATTAATATCATTGGAGCTGTGATAGGGCTTGCATTGAATCGGTAGATTGCTTTGGATAGCACAGCACATTGACAGTAAGTTTTCTTAACCATGAACGTGGGATATGTTTCCATTTGTTTATCTTTTGTCTATCTTTCTGGTTATGTGTGTGTGTGTGTGTGTGTGAGAGAGAGAGAGAGAGGAAGAGGAAGAGGGAGAGAGGGAGACAGACAAGACAGAGAGACTAGGGCCACACTAAACTATATCTCCTGCTTTTTTGAGACTCTGTCTTGCTTAGCTCAAGTTGCCAAGGCTGAGCTTGAACATGTGATCCTCCTGCCTCAACCTTGTTAGGGTGCTGGGGTTACAGTTGTGTGCCACTATGCCTGGTTTAGTAATGTTTTGTAGTTCTCATTGTCAAGGCTTTTACTATCTTGGGTCATATCTAGATGTTTTAGTTTTTTTGCTGCTATTGTAAATGGAGTTGTTTCTGTAATTTCTTTTTCTTTATTTATGTATATAGAAAAACAGCTGATTTTTGTGTGTTGAATTTGTATCCTACTTTTTAAAATTCATTAGTTCTGATAGTTTTCTTTTCAGAGTTTTCTACATATATGATCAGATTATCTGCACATAGAGATAGTTGTTTCTTTCTAGTTTGGAAGTCTTTTCTTTTTCTTGCTTAATTGCTTTGGCTACAACTTTCCACTACTGTGTTGAGTAGAAGTAGCAAAAGCAGGCCACCTTGCTTTGTTTCTAATCTTAGAAGAAAAGCTTTCAAACTTTTACTATTAGGTATTGGATATTTGCTGCAGGTTTTTCCTGTGTATGACTTTTGTTTATGTTAGTGTAGTTTCTTTCTATCCCTAATTTGTGTAGTTTTAGTGTGAAAGGTATTAAATTTACTCATAATTTTTCTGCTATCATTGGAGATGATCATGTGGTTTGCTTTCCTTCAGGTGATGTTATTACATTGTGTAAAGTTGGTGTATTACATAGTATAAATCTGAAAATGTTTAACCATTTTTACATGGTAGGAATAAATTTTATTTGGTCATGATGTACAATCTTTTGATTATCCTACTGTATCGAGTTTTCCAGTATTTTGTTGAAAATTATTGCCTGAGTGTTCATAAAGTACATTGGTCTGTAGTTTTTTTTGTTTCATTTTGTTTTGTTTTGCATAGTATCTTTGGCTTTAGGATCAGGGTGATATCTCATAGTACGAGTTTTAGGGTGTTTCCTTCTCTTCAGTTTTTTGAAAAAGTTCGAGAAGTTATTTCATAATGGTTTTATTTTTGTGTCTCCCTTAGTTTGTGTTATGGTTTACATCTAAAATGTCACCTCAAATTCTCATATGTCGAAGGTGATTAGATCATAGAAACACTGTACTCAGCAGTGGATTCATCCATTGATGAGTAGTTGAATGTGATCTTGGGAGGAAGGGCCTGATTGGAGATGGTTAACTGGTGGTCTGATTCTTTCTACATGGGTGTACATATTCTTGTCTTCATCTTCTCCCTTCTCTCTCTCTCTGCTTCCTGGCCACCATGGGCTGAGCACCTTTTCTTCTGTCATGCCTCTTTTCCATCCTGTTTCTGTCTTTGGGCCAGCTGATCATGGACTAAAACTATGAGCTAAAGTAAATCTCTTCTCTTTTAAGTCCATATGTTGGGTATTTGTCTCAGCTACCAGAAAGTAACTAAGACAGTGTAGAATTTTGTGTTCCCACATAACCACTCACATGGTTGGCTCTTTCTCACCTCTCCCCTCTTTCCTTTCTTTGACCAACTTTCCTTGCATTTATGTCTTCGTAATCTTTTGCTGACACTCCTATTTTTGAGTTTTCAGTATTATATCATATTTGGCTCAGACTTATATGACTTGAGTGGATTGAGGTGACTTGGCTGAAAGTAGGAGTGACATTAGTGCAAGCCACCTTCTCTCATTTTCTTTCCTTCATGTAAAGCTGCGGGTTTTCATTTTTCTCAAGAATGGTAGGCATCAGAGGGAACAGTGTCTGAATTTGTTTTTTCAGGACAAATATCTACAGCAGTGCTACTCAAGTGTTAAGATGATAGGAGAAATAGTGGTTTCTTATAGTCATGCTGATTCTTGAGATATATCTTTTGCTTGCTTAATGATGACCTTGATGATTTGAAAGAGAAGATTTAATTATATTTTCATCAGTAATGTGTGTAATAAGAATGACAAAGAATATTCTGTGTGGGGGTTTTCTCTATTATTTTTTAGCCTTTTCCTGGAGGTTTAATGACCAAGACAAAAAATTACTCATTGCTTGAATGATGGAGTATGCCTGAAATCCCAGCTACTTACGAGGCTGAGGCAGGAAGATTGCAAATTTGAGGCTAGTCAGAGCAACTTAGTGCAAGAACCTGCCTTAAAAGTGATGTAACTCAGTGGTAGAAGGTAATGGGTTCAATTCCAGATTCCACTCCCACCTCCAAAAAGAAGTACTGTACTTTTTATGCATGTTCTCTGGTAAGAATTTATATGACAATAATTTAAAAAAATATTCCTTTCTAGTTAACAGAAGATGAAATTGCAACCATTCTAAAATCTACATTGAAAGGATTAGAATATTTGCACTTCATGAGAAAAATACATAGAGATATAAAAGCTGGAAATATTCTCCTCAATACAGAAGGACATGCAAAACTGGCAGATTTTGGAGTGGCTGGTCAGTTAACAGTAAGTTGACTAAATTTGGCTTATTCAGGTTTGATTGTGACTAAAATTTATAATGTTTTTAAGTGCATAGAAAAAAATGTGTAACCTCGTTTTTTTTTAAGGGGCCATATTTATTTTATTTGCAATTAAGAGATATTGAATATTGAAAATATATCTTGTTAAAGTGCTTAAATATTGTAAAAGGGAAGCCATCTTGGTACATTGGGTTTTATGCTTTTATTTTTATAATGTTATCTGTAAATGAGATGTTATGTGTGGAGTTTTAGTTATCTCAAACTTTAAAATCCTTATATATGTCATAACTAGTTGAAGTTCTAGAAAATAGTCTTTTTCCAATAGAATCTGTGATATCTGAGCATTTGAAATATGTATTTTAAAGAATATGTTTTGGCATACAGATTACCTTTGTGTTCTTTTTTATTTCAATGAAATACAAGTAGATATCAATAAAGAAAATATTTTTAAAAAACATTCTGATATGAAAAAAATCAAGCAAAATTTCATAACAAATTAAAGAATAACATTAGTTAATACACTGTGTACCATAATCTCAAAAGAATGTCCAAAATGTTAGAGTACTATCATAGTCAAAAAAACTCTTACAAAAAAGAAACAAATAGATAATAGCAGAAAACTTTCTTTTCATTGAACTAAGAGGACCTTGCGGTATTGAAAAATTTTTGAAACCATGAAATGCATAATTTAAGGAATTATTAGAACTTCTCCCTACTTCCTATTTCTCTACTTTTCTTCAGGTTTTCTTTTAATAGAAACTATGTATAATAAATTTTTACATAAGGTAGGCACTGCCTAAATGTACATAGATTAGACGGAAGGTTGGTAGTGAAGGAGGATCTAGTCCTGTGAGTTATTTTCTCAGAGCATGAAAATCAGAGTTCATTTGGGGAAAAGGGTTCAGACTGCCAGATTAAGTGGATGTTAAAAGAATCTAAAATGCAGGCCCTTGAATAGATAACCAGATGCTGGTCCATTCTGTACTTAACAGTAATTTTTATGTCTATGTAATGTTATTGCAGGATACAATGGCAAAACGAAATACTGTGATAGGAACTCCATTTTGGATGGCTCCTGAGGTAATTCAAGAAATAGGCTATAACTGCGTGGCTGACATCTGGTCGCTTGGCATTACTTCTATAGAAATGGCTGAAGGAAAACCTCCTTATGCTGATATACATCCAATGAGGGTAAGAAAATTACAATTTGCTAAAGATGTTGACCTGATAAGTGTTATGGTTTTGTAATGTCTATGAAAATAAATTTAATTCATCTGAATTTAGATTCTGTACAAAAAGTAGTAAAATTATCTGTCAGATGTTTATGACTGTCAGTGTTTCTTCCCCCTGCCTTCTTCTGTGTGAGACTCAGGAACTGAAGACTGTTTATTTCTGCAATCATTCTTTTCCTCCAGAAAAATATTGCTGTGTTTGTACTTCAGTGAAAGAGTTGGTAAATCAGTTTTCACTTCACTACCCACACTGGATTTTCTACCTTTCTATGTTTTTCTTTCTCTCCATTATCTTTTTTAGTTGAGGCTGATATTTTAAAATATCCTGCTTTCTTATACTGCTATCTACCTTCAAGGGAATTAGGTGTGTATTTCTTTAGTTTGTTGTTATCAAAGAAACAGTGCACTCCTTTTCTAGGATTATTTTTGAATTTGAAGTGTATGTCTTCATATTCAAGTCTAATTTCCTGTGATTTAGGGTTTTTATTAATATGGTTCTTAGATTTATTAGTACAGTTTATTAATTCAATTTCTCATAGATAAGTTCATTTATTTTTGTATATTTACTGCCCTCTAGTGGTGGAAGTTACCTCAAGTGTGTAGGAAAGAAGGAGGAAGAAAGAAGATAGTTCAGAGTTCATTTGTAGATCATAGGGCTACTTGAACTATCCATGAAGTAACGTAATATTTTAGAATATTCTGAGGAATAAATTAGAGTTGTGATGCCTGATATTAAAATGCTCATACATTAAATTTCAGTAATACTATGCTGTACTTGAAATATTTAAAAATCTGTGTTCCATACTGAGTCACATTACAGAGCCGGTTCTTTGAGTGATACATTTCTATATAAATATTTACTATCTTCTTTGTACACATGAATTCCTTTGGCTGAAGTGCAAAATAAGAATCACATCGACTCTTTATTTGAAAATTACATGAAAAATTGCAGGATGAGCATACAAATTCCTGAACCACAAATCTTATTTATTTTATAATTATTAGTTATTTGGGATTTTTTTTTAGGGAATTTGTATGGTGATCCTGAAATGAGATGTATTTACATTTAAGGAAGTGAAGCTTGAAATTACCTAAATCTAGCTAGGTTCCAGAGCTGGGATTTAATCATATTTTATATTATTACAATTCTGTTTCCTCCTTTCATAAATCTTAGTTTTCCAAATAAAAGGTTCACATATAGGTAGAAAAGAATTGTACTATGTGGCCTCTGCAAGAATTGTAAAATAGCACTTGAGAAATCATACATATGAAATAATAAAATGTACCTGAAGATGGTATTTCTGTTAAATATACATATGCTCAGTCTATTGCAAACTTCCTAGGATTCCATGTTCATTTTTTTGTATCACTCTGACTTTAAATTTCACTAAATTTTCAAGTCACAAGTTTGATTTTTTTTTTTTTTTTGGTACCAGGGATTGAACTCAGGACCTTGTGCTTGCTAGTCAGGAGGCAGAGCCACTGAGCTAAATCCCCAAACCTACAAGTTAGATTTTTATATAGGTCATTTTTTGTGTGATTTTTTTTTTGGACCGGGGATCGAACTCAGGACCTTGCACTCGCGAGGTAGGCAGCAGAACCACTGAGCTAAATCCCCAGTCCTTTGTGTGATGTTTTGAGGCAAAGTCTTGTGATATAGCCCAAGCTGGCCTTGAACTCAAAGTGATTTTTCTCCTAGCCTCACCCATTCTCTAGTGCTGAAAGCATAATTATGTGCCATCATGCCTGGCTAATCTAGGCTATTCTAGATTTTGTGGTTATATTGATATTTTATCAAGTATTGACTTGTGCATTTTCAAGCACAATATAGCTTTAAGTTTCCATTCAATAGATATTATCATCATTTAATTTTTCTTGTATTCAGGAACTATTTTAAAAATTAGAGTATAGAGCTCTAAGTGTTCATAAGCTATCAAGATTATGTAGCAGATACAAGTTTTCCAAAATTTGAATGTTCGTGTGACAGCTCAAATTTTATCATTAAGTACTGTTTTTTTTTTCCTTGAAACAAGTTCCACTTGTTTCATTTTTGAGAAAATGTCACATACCCAAGTGAATAAGATTCACTTCTCCATCAGTTAGTCTTTCAAGTAAAAATGGTATCCTATGAAAAAAAAAGATTAACAGCTTGGTTAGCTGCAGTCCCATCAAACAGTGCCTTTCTTCAGGATAATCATTGTTCTTTGGTATGTGGGGAAGTGGTTTATGCATATTTCCCATTTTGTCACACAGAATATTTAAGGATTGAAATTTATTAAGTTAATAATATTTATTGTTTCATCAATTTTGTGGTAATTTGTGTTAGATGGAGTTCACTAGAGAGATAAATGAAAGAGTTGCCCAAGAGAGAAAAAAAGATTACTGAGGGCTCAGCTGAAATTGGACATTGAAAAATTGTGGCTTATCAAACCTAATTTGTCAACTTTCTAGCAATGCTCAGCTGTGGAGTGCAGTGTATTGTGGCCTTAATAGTCATGTTTGGGTTTTATTTATTTGTTTGTTTGTTTATTTATTTGGTACCGGGGATTGAACTCTTGGGTCCTTGCGCTTGCAAGGCAGGCCACCGAACCGCTGAGCTAAATCCTCAGCCCTATGTTTGGGTTTTAATGAGCACATTGTAAGAAAGGCACTGCGGGGAATTTAAGGATGCTGTTGGGAGAGTAGTTCAGGTAGTTACCAAGGGGGTACAGTCTGGAGAGAGAAGAGAGCAGAAGGAAATGGAGGGGTTGAGGAGCTAGATAGTATTCTCCAGTTTTGCTGTATAGCAGTCATCTGGGGTCCATTGAAAAAAATTCTGATTCTTTTATTCTACTCTAAAATTATTACGTTAGGATCTCACTTTTTAGTGAGGTTAGCAGATAACTGGTAAATGTGAGAAAGCTGATAAGACATGAAACTGATTAGTGAGTGAAATATTAAAATTTTGTTTTTAAATTAAAAACTTATAACAACTTTATATTATAGTATTATAATCTCCATTTTAACGGGTAAATAGGATGAAGTGGATATTTGTTAAGATGACACAACTGGTCAGTAATACTGAGATATGAAACTTAGTGCTGGTCCATTTTCTTGGCTTGACACTAAATAAGTAAACTTCTTCATTTATATATCAGTTCTGTGCAAGTAGAGGAGTGACTAGCAAATATATTATGAGAAATGTACAAATCACATAATCTCTTTATTATTATTCTTTTAAAATAAGACTCTTCCAAGTTTCCAGGTGGTAAGAAACAGATAAATTTCAATTTTTTATGTTTTGTTCCTCAGCCACTGTATTCAGTAGTAATACAGGCTAGTGAGATAACCAATAATCTATAAAATTGTCACAAAGGGATGAAGATTCAATTAACAGAAAGACCACCACAGCAGATAGAGCCAAAGAATGCTAGTTTTCCTAATATAGAAAAAGTGTATGTCATAATTTGCCTCCTTAGATGACTATCTACAAGAGAAGACAAAGTTAGAATGTGGTAGAACAGCTTGCCTAGCTTCCAGATCTTCAGACCAAACCAATCTTCACTGTAGAAGATGCTAATAATTATCTATCTCATAAAGGGCCATGAGGAAATGCACATTAAAATATATTATAGCTTTTTAAACAGGGGAAGGATTAAAATGTGCTCATAAATTTATATCTAGCTATTAGATTAAAATTAATGACTAATGGCAAATGGAAGTGAATCTGCTCCTTAATGTTGCTATACTTTTCAGCTCGCTTTCCCTTTCTTGGCAGAGATGGGGGTCCTTTTATAATGCATAATAATATTATAGCTTTTCCTTCACAAATCACATGTCCCTCTTGGATGATACGTTGCAGGCATTTAACATGGGAAAGAAGGGATGGGAATGGCATAGAGAACAAGTGTTTTCATTTAGTCTAGGAGAACATAAATGTGAAGTTAAGGTGTTGGCAGTGCTGTATTCCCTCTGGAGAGGTTCCAAGGAGAGTCCATTCTTTGCCTCTTCCAGGCTTTAGTGGCTACGGACAAGCCTGAGCATTTCCTTGAATTGTAATTGTCTGCCTTTGTCTTTACACTGAATTCTCCTGTGAGTATGTGTCTTCTTTTTCTTTGCCTTAAATTTCTCTGCTTTTCTCTTATGAGTACATTTGCCATTGGGTTTAGGGCTCATTTCACTAATCCTTTGTTTAAGGTCCTTAACCTAATTATATCTGCAGAGATTATTTTCTTTTCCTTTAAGAAAGATTCCCTTTAGAACTCTATGGATTAAGGGCCAGGAATTTAGCTCAGTGGTTCCACTTCCTGCCTCGGACCTGAGTTTGATCCCCTGTACCCCCCCAAAAAAGAACTCTGGATTAGAACGGTAATGGTGAACCTTGTACAGCTTTCAATGATAACAGCCAGCCAGCTGTGGCACACTTGCCATAGGTTGACTACCACTGAATAAGGACTAGGATATCTTTTTGAGGAACCACTGTTTAATCCTCTGCTTCTCCTATAATCTGTTTTCTTGTATTCCAGTTATATATAAAACTTGATATTAATGGCTAGTTAAGATTAACGTCCAATAATTTGATTATTCATTCATCTGTTGAAGTATCTGTTGGGTATCTTCTACCTTTTGGCTATTGTGAGTCATGCTCTGTGAACATAGTTATATAGTCATTTCTGATATCCTGATGTCAGTCCTTTTGGATATATACCTCCAGTGGAATTGCTGCATGTTACAGTAATTTTTTTTGGAACTGGGAATTGAACTCCGGGACTTGTGCTTGCCAGGCAGGTGCCGTGCCAGTGAGCTATATCCCTGTCCTCTAGTAATTCTATGTTTACATTTTTGAGAAATATCTATACTACTTTCCATTGCAACTGTACAATGTCATATTCTCATTAACATTGTAGGATTCCAGTTTTTCCACATCTGTGTCAACACTTATTTTCTTTGATTATAACCATTGTAATGGGTGTAAAGGGA